GGGGGTGAAGGGGGTGAAGCAGGGCCAGAGGGGGCGGGAGGGAGAGGCCAGACTGAGGCACTCTGGACTAGAGATGCCGGTGGAGTATCTCAGGGGTGGTATTTGGTGTTTAGCTGGCAGCATGGGTCTGGAACTCAGGTTTTAAAAAAAGCCATCAAACTGGAGATGGAGGCCTGGGGTCATCAGATATGAGAGGGTACAAGCACTCACAGGTGGAGAGGGAGGGAGGAGAGTGAAGCTCAAAAGACAGGAAAGTTCCAGCACTGATGGGGACTAAGAGGCTGGTTAAGAGGTGCAGAACCACAGGGGCACGGGAGCAGGTGGCACCCACGTCAACGACTGCCGACAGGCCTGGAGGCGCAGGGCCAGGAAGCTCTGAAGTCGCTGGGTCTGCCAAGAGCTACGGCCATAGGGGTGGGGCAGTATTTACAGGGCAGAGTCTAGTGGAGCCGAGAGGAGTGGAGGACAGGAGAGTGGAGCCAGTGGGCTTGAAACTGACTCCGTGTGGTGGTGGAGGGAAGAAGCAAGATGGGGCAACAGCTGGAGGAGGAAGAGGCACAGCAACGGGGAGGGAAGCGATGTGAGTGGGCTTACGAGGAGAGAGAGAAAGGCTGAAGCCACCAGAGAAAGGATCCTGTTGGTGGCGCAGGGGCTCTGAGGGTGTGCGTGCTCGTGTGTGTGGGTGGGTGTGACTGTGACATGGGATCAGGAATGGGGGGATGAGGATGGCCAAGCTGTGGACATGTTTCAGAGTAATGGGGATACAAGGGACAACCTTCTCTCCTGCTTCTGTTTTCTTTCTGGAGATGGCCTCTCCCCTCCTTCACTGAGACCCAGAGGTCCAGAGAGAGTGTTTGCTCTGACCTCCCAGAAAGAGGGGACTGGAGCCCCAACAATCCCAGAAGCCTGTCCATTCCTTTCTCCAGCTTGGAGCCAGTCTTGGGCAGTGGGAATGGGTGGGGTGGCCTCAGAAGGTGAGCCTGGTGGGCAACCTGAGTTTCTTGCTAAATATGTAGATTGGGGACACACAAGACCCCTCTCCCCAATTTCCTTAGGATGCAGCATTCTTTCAGCCACAAACCTTTGATCTAAACCAGTGGGGTGTAGTTTGATTTTTTAAGGGGGGCAATTCAAGAATGAGTTATTAGCAGTGAATTTTTTTGCATTTCTTATGGTTCTAGTATCTCCTATATAGTATCTATAATAATAAAAGTGTAATATGCTAATTAGATTGGACGTCCTTCCAGAAAACCTTCTGGACGAAGCCATGGTGGCAGGGTGAGGCAGAGGCAGCAGCAGGCGGGGGACGAGCCCCTTGCACTAATTTCGTGCATCAGGCCTCTAGTATAAATATATATCCTGACATATTTATGCATTTCAGTTCTCTATTATATGTTTTGAAATTTTATTTGCTATTTTTCATATCACTTCATATTATTATTATTTTTTAAACAATTTCTTAGTGATTTCTTCCTCAGTACTTCAACTGTCCTTTCATTCTTTTATTTTTCCCTTTCATGGATGCCATGTTCTATGGAAGTTTGTTTAGACCAAGTTAATGGCCTTGTTAGGCTTCCTCCACATGAAAAGGAGTTCACGTTTTGAATAATAAGAATTATATGTCACGGGGGGCATCAGGGTTTTAGAGATGCTCAGGTGGGGCATGGCCAAAGAAAGGTTGGGAACCACTGCTCTAAATCAAACTCTTTGTAAATTCCAATCTCACCTGGACCACTTTCCAGGTGACCAATGTGCCTCTGCTCCCCACTCCTGAAACGACAGTCAGAAACTGAAGTGCTTCCCAGATTCTTTCCCCCACACCCTTCTTCGCATATTGGAGACTGAGGCCGAGGGGCAGAATGTGCACAGCTAGGGCCACAGAACAACCCGGGAGCAGCCTGAGCCCTGGCCTTCCATCAATTTCTGTTGTGGGCAGGCTGGGGTCCTGTAAAATCATCCTTGTTTGCATTTGGGGGGCAGTGAGGAGGAAAAGGATAGCCAGGGAGCGGGTGGTTGTAAGATACTCTGGAGGGGCAGGAAAGAGTAGGGTGCTCTCGGCTACAGAGGGAAGTCCACTTGGCCCTCAGGGCCGACAGAACAGAGGTCGAGCAGAACTTCTGTTTAGCAGGCAGAGGGGGGCTTCCCCTTTTGCTTGTTCTGCCACCCAACAGTCTGTCGGGGGCTGTGAGAGGCAGGAGAGAGGTGAGGAGCTGCCCTTGGACTCCTGGCTTCTCTGGTGCCCAAAGGCCCCGCTCGACCAACCCAAGATGGAGGCTCCTGAGCTTCTGACTCACTTCCCTGGAGCGCTGACTCCAGTTTAAAGACAATCCTATGTCATAGGGGAGCCTGTCTGAGACACAGACTCCCCCAACACTAGTCAAAGCCATGTGCCCTTCCCCTTACGCAGCTCTCTGCCCAGTGCAGCTTGCTGAGCTGAGAAACCAGTCCATCACCACACATGACCTCCCAGATGCATTCTGCAAGCGGTTTTCCCTCCAAGGATTGCCACATGCTGGGCTTTCAGACACTGTGGCAGGTCCTTTGAGAGGTTCTAGGACAAGAGTGGACTTCCACAGGCAAAGCTGACTGACAATCAAATTGCCTTCAACCATCCAGAGACATTGATTGAGCATCTATAGTCTGAAGACACTGGGCCAACATATCCAGAGGAGCCCAGGGTTGCAAGGAGAAATTGGGGGTGGCAAGGAAGGGGGTGAGGAATTTGATCTACAGGTGAGTCTGGGGACACAGCCCTCGGTTCTGCCAGCTCAGGACCCTCCTTCTCAGGAGGGAAGATGCCAGGAGGGAGGGATGGCTGCTGCTCACCTGCCATTACCGTACTTGATGCGAATGTCGCGGCTGCGGTTGAGCTCCTTGCCATCCTTGAACCAGCGGTAGGAGGGCAGGGGGTTACCGGCCACTGCCTCACACTTCAGCGACTGTTTCTCCCCCACCTGTCCCGTCTGACTCTTCATCTTCTTCAGCTTGGGCCGGGTGGCTGTGGGGGCACAAGGCAGGGAGGTGAGCATGGCAACGATGGGGCAGTGCCAAGTATGAGCAGTGGAGGAAGGGCCACTGTCCTTGGGCTGGGCCTGGGGAGTTGCCCCTCCAGGTGTCATTTCCTCGTTCAATTCAACAAGCATTCACAGAGGGTCTGCAATGATGCCGTGTGGCTGTTACCGGGAGAGAGTTTCCCTTGTGCTTGGAGTGGTACTGGGAGCTTTACATACATTATCTTATGACAATAACCTGATAAGTTCACTGCGGTGATTAAACCCATTTATAGATGGGAAAACCGAGGCACAGGATGGTGAAGTCACTTCCTCAAGGTGATGGAACTGGGATTTAAACCCAGGTCTCCTTGACTTCAGTGTTCATGATCTAACTTCTGTCCCAGGCGACCCAGGCAGACCAAGATGACAGACAGCCCCTCCTCTCAGGGGAGCTGTCACCCGGCATTGACACACAGCATGGCTCAGGGAGGCATGAAGGTGCTGAAGCCCAGAGAAGCTACCCCAACTCAGACTGAGGGACGAGCCAACTCAGCTAAGAGTTAAGGGCTGGGGATAGAAGGAGAAGGTTAGGCCACATTATTTTAATAGGTAATATATTCACATGATTCAAAATTCAAGAAGTGAAAAAGGATATATGGCTTGAAACAACAAGTCTCTCTCTAACTTCTCACCACAGCCATACAATGTTTCTCAAAGGCAGCCAATTTTGTCAATTCCTTTTATATCCTTTCACAGATCTTTATGCAGATATAAAACACACACATTTTAAACAAAATGGAATCATTAGTAACATACATATACAAAAAAACCCTAGTATTCACATACTTTTTTTTCCTTTTTTAATTTAAATTCTTTATTGTTTAAAGTATTAGATGAGTCTCCTTTTTCCTCCATTGACCTCACACCTTTTTTCTATAGCATCATTTTTCATGGTTGCATAATATTCCAGTACGAGTATATCACAATCCATGTGACCAATTCCTATCATGGGGTAGTTAGCAGGTTTTCTCCCCTTCCTTTCTCCCCCATTACAAACAAGCCCGGAGGAACATCCTTGCACCTTTGCCCACTGTATACATTATATATCCAATGCGCACACCCAGTGTACGCTGTTGTACAGGTAGTATGGCTCTTGACTCAGACTGCCTGGGTTCAAATCCAGGCTTTGCTACTTGTTAGTTTTGTGTCCTCTGGTCATTGACTTAATTAATCCTTTTGCACCTCAATTTCCTTGTCTGTAAAGTACAGGTGATAACAGCTCACCCTGTGGGATGACGGCTGTGAGGATTATATGAGATAATGTGTGTGGAGCTTGGCATGCACCGAGCATTTAATAAAGGTTAGCTGTTATTGTTATTATTATCCACAATCGTTTCCTAAGGCAATCTTCCTAAAAGTGGAATTGCTGCGTCACAAAGGTTTGCAGTCTTCCTCAGCTTTACGGTCGCCAAATTACCTTCTGGAAAGGTTGCATCAGTCTGTACTCCCACCAGTGAATGGCAGTGCCTGTTTTTCCACACCCTCATCAACATGAGGTATTATCATGTATTTAATCTTCGCCAATTAGCTGGGCAGAAGATAACGCCTCTGTGGTTTTAATTTGCATTTATTTGATTCCTGGTGAGGCTGACCACTTTTCCTAAGTGTATCGGACCATTGTATTTCTTCTTTGTGAATTGTCTGTTCTTGCCCGTACTCCATTTTTCTATTGGGTGCTCACCTTATTGATCTGTAAGAGTTCTGTATACATATGAAGGCTACGAAGCTTTTGCTACATTTCCCTCCAATTACCTGCTTCTTATATTTTATAATGGTTTTCTTTTGGACATCCAGAGGTTTTATGTACATCAACCTATCAATCTGTTGGGCTTTCTGGAACTTCATAATTCTAAATGGGGTTGAAATCCTGCCTAGGCATCCTTCCCCCTTACCTACACCCCCACCTTCCTGAGTCCTCAGTCACTGCTTATCAATAGAGCTTTAAAAGTTATGTAAGTGCCTAGGAAATATCCTAGACATAATGAAACAGAACCTGTGGGAGTGGGCCCAGGTATGTGGGTTTAAAAAATAAACAATAAAAATATAACATACATATAGGAAAGTGCACATATTGTGAGTGTATAGCTCATGACTGGTTACTAACTGAACACATCTTCACAGATGGCTTTGCTCTAAGGTTAGGCTGACAGCCAGGGATCTAACCTCTTAGTCAACTGGTGATCTCCAACTAGTCTCCTCCCTCTTCTTGTGAACCAGGGAAACAGAAAGCTCTTCTCAGATTAGAGAGTGCTGGCCTTCATTGCAGTTCTGAGACAGGGGACCCACTAACCACCCCCTCCATGGGCCACCTCCCTCCCAACAAGCCAGGGTGAGGATGGGGATGATACCTGGTGAGAAGAGGTGGTGGTCACTCTACTACCTTGTTGCATGTGAGTCCTGGTGCAACACTATGCGCTAAGTCTGAGGCCACTGCTTAATGGTGGTGGTGAAGGGGGCAGGAGGGTGCAGTTACACAGAGACTCCAGAAACAAGAGGTATGACCCCAATTCAGAGGCACTGAGAACTGGGGGCTACAAAGTCATTCTCTGCCACGAATGGGAAACCCAAGACTACATTTCAGATCACAAAGAGCCCACCCCAACTAGTAAGAACCCTGTGCGACCCAATAGCCACTTTTAAAAAATATGTTTTTATCAATTTCAGAGAGGAAGGGAGAGGGAGATAGAAAAATCAGTGATGAGAGAGAATCATTGATCAGCTGTCCCCTGCATGCCCCTGTACTAGGGATCGAGCCCCCACAACCAGGGCACGTGCCTTGACCAGGAAACAAACTGTGACCTCCTGATTCATAGGCTGATGCTCAACCTCTGAGCCACACTGGCTGGGCGCCACTTCTTGATAGTCTATTCACTTCAGAATAATCCCATCTAGCTCACTTGTTCCTCATTCATTCATTCATTCATTCTACTACATGCCAGGCATGGTCCAGATTTTGGGCCCTGAGAATACAATAGTGGACAAGACAGATAATCTTTCTGCTCTCATGAAGCCTGAACTTGAGTGAGGAGGATGCACAATGGCAAATAATCACCAGGATCTATGAGGCAGTGAAAAGTTCAGCTAGGCAACAGAGGCCCATGTGGCTGGAAGATTCTGGAAAGCAAGGGTGGTATGAGGGGATCCTGGAGAGGGAGGCCCAGGTGACTGACATGTGGCTATCTGAGCCAGGACAAGAAGTCTGGATATGTCCCTCTTCTCCTTTTCTTGGGTAACCCCATTTTTTTTGAAGTCCTTGATCAACATTTCTTGCAATTTCCTACCCTCTTGTGCATGCAGAATTGGAAATTCTGCCAGATGACTAGGAATTAGGCCTCTGGAGAATTTTGAAGTGTGACAGACCTAGATTTGAAATTTGGCAAACTACTTTCTTAACCTAAGCATCAGTTTCTTTATCTGTAAAATATACACAATAACTAGCTGATAGGATTATTGTGAGAATTAAAGGAGATAGTGAATGTAAAGTGTTTAGTCCAGGTTCAACAAATGCATGTTCGTATCTGAGAGTCCTGAAATAGGGTTGGTGGCTGAAGAGGAAGGGGGTTATTTGCTGGCGTGGGGTGGGTCCAGAGTTTTGGGCTTTGTCAAAGGAAATGAGGGATGTCCAGTCAGACACATTATTTTGGTTGCCAGTTGCTGAAATAGTTCCCTGACTAAAATGCTTCCATAGGCTCTGAGGAGAGAATGCCGGAAGTGCCCCATAACTTGCAAATGTCTTTAAAGCTTTTTTTGGGTTAACTTTTGATGTGCCTACTAGAAATTGTAAAGTTATCTATGTAGATCACATTATATTCCTATTAGACAGCACTGGTCTAAAGGATGACAAGATAAAAATAGTCATATATTTGAATCATGTTATGCTCTTTACCAAGAGTTTTCTTTTGGTTCTTAACAGTTCCTCACAAGAATCAACTGAGATACAGTAATCACCCCCTGCTTCCCGAGGTTTAATTACCCACAGTCCAAATATATGAAGTAGAAAATTCCAAAAATAAACAATTCATATGTTTTAAATAGTGTGCTGTTCTTAGTAGCATGATAAAATCTCACGCTGTCAGGCTCCGTCCTGCCCAGGATGTGAATCAACTCTTTGTCCGGCATATTCACGACTGTTAGTCACTTTGTAGCTGCCTTGGTTATCAGACGCACTGCTAGTGTTCAAGTAGCACTTATTTTACCTAATAATGGCCCCAAAGCCATTCACATAACTTTTATTACAGTATATTAGTATAATTGTTCTATTTTATTATTAGTTATTATTATTACTCTCTTACTGTGCCTATTTTAAAATTTAAACTTTATCATAGGTATCTATGTATAGGAAAAGACAGTATGTATAGGGTGTCCCTAAAAATGTATACACATTTTAACAGCTGATAACTCAATTCTCACTCCTTTTCAGGTTTAACTGATTTGAAATAATGGGTGAAGCCAGACTAAGCTTTGAACAAAGAAAAAACCAGACTTTTTTTTTTTTTAATGAGGATACATAAAAGATAAAGTTTATGGTACAAAACCAGCAACAGTTGACGAATTGAGGGTACACAAATGCAAAATGAAATGAATTTTTATGTTTGCGATTCTACCTCTTCATGTTATCAGCAGTGCCTGGACCAGACCGGTCATCAGTTTGAATTTAGACATTGACAAAAAATTATTCATTTCTACAGATTCTTTTAAATTTTGAAAATGAACTATATGTTAATAAACACTGATTTTATAATAATTCAAAGTGTGTATACATTTTTGGGGGGACACCCTATATAGAATTCAGTACTATCTGGGGTTTCAGGCACCTACTGGGGTCTTGGAACTTATCCCCCAAGGATAAGGCGGGGGGTGGGTGGGTGGTGGGGGACGACTACTGTATTAAAAACCATGTCTCCCGCTCTAGCAGTGTCTGATTCTGGTCCCTGCTCACAGAAAT